ACCAGGACAATTCCTAACTTGGTCGGCCCGACGTGATAACATATCCCGACCAATAACAAATATTAAACTGGTGAGCCTGTCTTGTTTTATACTTGTATATTGTTTTCATTTTCACAACCATTTGATATCCATATACAGCTCTTTCGCATGTCCGGCCATACTCCCAAGCTCATCTGTATTAAGCCGACCACGAACACAATCCACCTCGTGCCATATTGGCCAGACAATGCAGAAACGTGGTTTCTGTATGCCGGGCAGACTTTCGGGAACAGGGGTCACAGATCCTCATTCCAGATTTCTTGCTGTCATGAGTTCGCTACCACGGGAATTAAACAGACATGTTACAGCACACATGTTTAGTCCTGCACTTCTCGAAGCCGCACGCCTGAAGAAAAGTGATCTCGCAGATTGCCAGCTCCTAGACGAGCTGCTCCGCAACATCCAGCTAGGCAGCAACTCAGCTACTGAGGTCCTCGCATGCTTGCGAGAAGCTATCGGCGTACGAACATTCGACAAGGGCCTTTTCCGAGAACTGTTTCTCTCGAAACTATCACAACGGGGCCAAACGGTGCTGGTGACTTTTCATCCAGTTCCACTCGGTGACCTGGCAGTCTCAGCAGGTAAAATACTGGAGATTTCCAGCAGACCCGTCTCCAACGCATATTCTGTCTGCGACAAACCAGAGAGCCAGGATTCGCAGCTGACCAAGCTGCGCAACTCTGTGAAGCGGTTGCTACGATCTCGAAGTCCTACGTTACGTAGCACATCAGAGAAACGCATCTTAGCGCATCGCAACAGCTCGTGCGGTTGTCTAAAAACTAAACCCTGCGGGGTGGAAAACCCGAAATGGCGCTGGCTTCATAAACTTACGGAGAAGAAGCCCAAAAGTGCCGGAAGCCATGCAGCTTCAACTTGGACACAAACTCGGGAAACTGTCACGCCGGCACGTGGTCACGGCAACCGCAGCCGGTGGAAGCAGCCGTTTGCTCAACGTCACCGATATGGAAACGAAAGTTAGCTACCTAGTCGACAACGGCGCAGAAGTTGGCGTTCTTCCGGCACCGACAAAGGGGCGTCATTGTGAACCATCCTTCAGTCTCCAAGCAGCTAGTGGCTAGGCAATCGCGACATTCAGGAGACAGTATGCCTACCTCAACCTAAGTTTACGTAAACCTATTCACTGGATTTTCCTCCTGGCCGACCTTTCTATGCCCATCATTGGCATAGACTTACTAACCATTACGATCTACTGGTAGATGCTCGCCGTCGACGTCTGATAGATAACAACGCGAAGCTATCCATTGGTGGAGACACCTAAGTAGGTCCGAGTTTAGCCACTGCCAGAGCTAAACAATCAGGCGACGCGTCCTATCGGGTAGTGTTCGGGGAATATCCAGAGTTACAACAACCGTAGCATACTCTTCCATGCATAACCAGCAGTGTCGTGCACCACGTCACAGCCACAGGTCCACCTGTGGCATCCAAAGCACGCTGCCTAGCCTCTGCCAAGCTGAAAACGGCGAAGAGTGAATTTGACCGCATGCTCGAACTGGGTGTTATCAAACCATCTAGTAGTCCTTGGGCATCACCATCGCGTACGGTTCCCAAAAGGGATAGCAACGACTGGCTCCCAACCGGTGACTGCTGAAGGCTTAACGCCACGACAACTCCGGAATGCTACCCGATGCCTCACATTTATGACCTGACTGCGACGTTATGCAGAATGAACATTTTTTCCAAAACTGACCCGGTCAAAGCGTACAACCAGATACCTATGGCAGCAGAAGATATCGCGAAAACGGCAAACATTAATCCTCTTGTTTGGTTGAATTCCCGCGCATGCCGTTTGGTCTTCGGAATGCAGCGCAGACATTCCAACGCTTTATGGATGATGCCTCTCGTGGTTTAAACTTTGTCCATGTCTACATCGATGACTGCCTCATTGTGACTTCAGATAGGGAAACTCACCTTGAACATTTGGACCTTATGTTCGAAAGACTGAAAAAACATGGCATCACAGTCAACTCGCAGAAATGTGAAATAGGAGTTGAGTCACTCAGCTTCCTTTGGCATACCAATGACAACAAAGGTATACGCCTATTGAGAGATGAAGTGGTGGCTATCACGAACTATCCAGAGCCGACCACTGTGAAGCAGCTCCGCACTTTCAATGGCCTGGTAATTTATTACCGGAGGATCATCCCGACTGTGCCTCCGCCATGAGACCACTCACAGGTCTACTTGAGGGACTACGAAGTGCATGACTCTGGACAACGTGGCTGGACTTGCTTTCTCCAAAGTCAAGGAAGCCATTTCAAACTCAACCATGCTAATGCATCATGACCGAAAGCTCCATTGAGTATTACTGTTGATGCATCTGACTCAGCAACTGGAGCAGTTTTGCAACAGTTGACTGACAACTGGTGGCAACTGTTAGCCTTTTTCTTGAGGTAGCTGCAGGACGCGTAAACAGGATACGGCACATTCGTTAGGGAACTCGCAGCTATGCACTGTCCTGTACGCCATTTTCGACATTCGGTGGAAGGTCGTGACTTCACCATTTTCACAAACCACAAACCGTCAACCTTCTCTCTTAGCTCAGCGTCTGACAAATACTCCCTCGCGAGTCACGACAACTGGATTACATTTCGTTTTCCACGTCAGACATCCGCCACATTTCCAGTGAGAATAACTCCGAAGCCGGCGTACTATCTCGAATTGCTTCCATAAACCCTATCGAGGGCGTTCATCTCGCTGAACTAGCTCGGTGCCAAAGAGAAAATCTTGAGCTACATCTCGAGTTGTCGTCCACAACTCTCGAGCTACAACTGTGTCCAGCGGGACCAAGCAAGGATACAATTTTGTGCGATGTCTCTGCTAGTCAACTAAACCCAACAGTTCCGAATGGATGTTGACGCAACGTCTGCACAAACTGTCCCATCCAGGTGTGCGGGCCACCACCGGGCTTATTGCACAACGTTTCTGCTGGCCTGGGATGAACAAACACGTTAGGGAGTAGGCTCAGTCGTGCTTAGCTTGTGAGAAGTGCGAAGTCACCAGACACACGAAAAGCCCTTTAGGCTCATTTCTAGCCCCAGACATGCGTTTCGACCACGTCCATATAGATATTGTAGGACCCCTACAAGAACCTTTTCACTTGTGTTGATCGTTTCACACGATGGCCGGAAGCAGTACCCATTAAAGATATTACTGCCGAAACAGTTGCTCGTGTTTTCGTCGAAAGATGGATCGCGAAATTCGGATGTCCATCTTATGTCACAACCGACCGTGGGCGCCATTTCGAGTGTGGATTATTTCACGCTCTAACGGCACTTTTAGGTTGCACTCGGTTCCGAACGACAGCCTACCATCCACAAGCAAATGGCATGGTGGAGCGTTTCCATCAACAGCTGAAAGCTTCCCTTTCGGCTGCAAACATACCTCAGTGGACCGAGGCTCTGCCTCTAGTCCTACTAGGTATTCGTAACGCCTTGAAAGTTAATGCTGGATGTACCCCTGCAGAACTCGTCTAAAGGACCACTCTTCACCTACCAGGTGAGTTCGTTTCCCCTTCAACTTTCAAACATGCTTCCGACAGGGCATCTTACGTGACTAGGCTTACAAACGCAATGCGTTCAGTTAGGTCTTCTCCGGTTAGGCCTCAAACGACTGATGTCTTCGTTCACTCTAGTTTACAGAAGACATCACACGTGTTTATTTGCCACGACGCCGTTCGTCGACCACTTGAACCACCCTACGACGGGCCATTCAAAATGATCAAGCGACACGAGAAATTCTATATAATCGAGCGAAACGGATGTGAAGGTACTATTAGTGTTAACCGTTTGAAACCAGCTTATTTCGAAGGCAACCCCCTTATAAGTGATGTTTCAGATCGCTACATCCGACCGACGGATGACTCAATTATCGAAATTCTTGACGATGTGCCTGGTAATGCACAGCTGCAACAACCATCGGCGCAACAAAAAGTAAGATCAGGTCTAACCGTCAGGTTCCCAGAGTATCTGAAGTCATATTCAACTTAGCTGTGTGTGTGCCAACCATTTTTTTCTTTTTTTTCGGGGCACTATTTTTCTTATTTACCGGCAATGCACAAACCCTCGTACACTTTGCCTTTTTATAGCAATTTTTTACCACCACGGAATGAAACTTTTTCAAACTAATGGGAAATAAGCACTAAATCTATTTTCAATATATTTACACACCAATAGCTCTCATTCTCACGAAACATTTTCGTGGTATTAAAGACTTTTATTTATATTCCAGTAGCAAAGAGCACTGAACGGAACGTCAAAGGAAACTGAGGACCACGATCGACGTTCAATTCGATTTATCTTATTTTCAGTTGCCACGACACCATAGAATAAGTTAAGACAACCAGGGGCGGCTTCTCGCAGTGAGCCCATCGGAAGAGCTTAACCAGTGGAGAAACCTTTGGGTTTTTACTTCCTGCTGGTCTCGTCTTAGGGTCTGGAACCTCGATGGAACTGCTACCACCGGTGGTACTCAAGTCAGCATTTCAGTCAGCAGCACTGCCGCTTAGCTATTTGAACTGCAAATGACCTGGTTTAGAACTGGGTTACACAGGTCGACTGATCACTGGAGAACGACTACTCGAATGCTGTCGAGTCCTGAGTGCTGACCATATTCTCTTGATCAGTCGTGGCCTGAATGCCTCAGTGGTAACACCACTGACCACAACTCTGCGCGACGCACATTCGAATGTCAGACAAGACATCACTTCCCTAGATGTTGCAGATATGCCTTCCTGATGAGTGAAAAAACCACGACGTCAAAGTACAGGGCTTTCTGGAAACGACTCCCAGAAGCAGTGGTGCCCACATAAACAACTGACTCATTGAAATGAGGACCTGGATAGCACAAAAATCAACCGATAAAAGATTAATATAGACTCGTAGCCTTCCATCCTAAAGCTACAAATCTGAATCTGAATCTGAGATTGGCGGTCTCTTCTGTGTTCTAAGCGGCGGTCTGGTTGAGCTTAAGGTCGAACTCAAACTTCGTTTTTCAGCTGTTTAGTGTGTGGGAATTTGCTTCTCATAACTTTATCTGAGGTTAAGATTCCATTTTTTTTGATTGCTTATGATAATTATTTTGTGGGTTAGTTATACAGGAAGTGGATATAATGCACATTGACCTTACAGTTATCTTTGACAATTTTACATTTCTGGGGCCGATATCACGCGTTCTGGGTGTGCAAAAAGTCACTATGTAAACAACATCTTAAACGTTTAAATCTTTCTAGCTAAAGTAATCTGAAATGTAATAAAACCTTGGCCGAACGACACATTTAAGTGTGCCTAGCCACCATTCACTTCGGGCCCACTTTGTAACTTTCAGGCGAAAACCCGAAAATTTTGCTTCGGGTGCATATCGGGCGACGCACGATACTCCTCGGATGTTTCAAACCTTTTCCTCGAAAGTGTCAAAAGTCCCAAAGTGCGCCCAAAGTTTAAAAACACGTTTCGCGCTCACCGAAAGGCATGTACAAGACGTAAATGTGAAAATAAATTTATATTGTAACAGTGACGGGTACATAATACTCTTCTAACAATTATTCAGTCTCGTTAACGCTATTCGGCGAACTGGGTAGCGGAGTGCTATCCGCGTATTTTGTGACGAAGATGTGGATAACCTCACCACCTTCGGGCGATTCAGTCACCTATGGTAATTGTATTATGGGACATATTAAGCTTACCGTTTTCCCTCTTTCCTACCTTTTTACCCTCATCTTCAATCGGTCGCGACTGTTATCAAGCCACCTCTGGATGAGTCCGGATTTTATCGGCAGTCACCTCTTTATTATCGCTCCCATGCCTGTGGACGTTAAAAAGGACGTCTTCGTACGTGATAAAACCGAAACGAGAACTTACTGGTAATAAGTCTGGAATTAGCGTCCTCTTAAATGGACGCTTGTCTTGAGTAGAAGATCAGGAGTACAGCATTCAGAAGTTTGACTCCAGTAGCGTAACCATTATGTGACAGACGCGAACGCGAATATTGGATTCAACCATAGTTATTATCCAATATTGATAGTGCGAGTGTAGAAAACTGATAGTTTCTGATCTATCACGTCTAGCTTTTAGGGCTTGGTTTGAGTTGTTCGGTCCACTCCTGCAGTGGACGAGGAAATCCCCTCTGCTTTCTTGCTTTTAGCTTCGGTTATTAGTTATTGATTGCTGTGTGAAATTCTTCGAAGATAGAATTCTCTCTTTGTAGCTGTTGTAAAGTAGTAACCAAAAACTGACTAATGATACTGAAAAATTGGCATGATCGACGAAATTTGAAATAGCTCAACGTTAACTACTACTCTAACAACTCTTAATTACTGACATGTTGTGATAGATATCGCGTATTGATATTTTCTCTGAACGAAATTTGGTGGCCACACCAGAGACCGGCCTGAGCTTGTTTGACCTACAAGACTGGCACTTATGCTAAGCATCATAAGAAGTAAGGGGATAATCGATTACTTAGGTATTCTACATTTGTTAAACTCAGGGTACGAATATTTTTAATTTTGTTTTGGTGAATCATGCTAAGTAAAAAAGACTTGCTCACAAGTTTTATTTTTCATGTTTATCTTGTTCACTGTAAGTTATGGTTGAGTGAGTTGTTTTTCCAGTGCCAGCTAACCTCTCAGTCTATGAAGGTTGATTATGATCAAAAGAAAACTGTAAGATAGGAAACGTAAAATTCACAGGTGCTAGTCATTTTGGTCGGTCACAAATGCTTTGAAGCCATCTTTGTTTTGCTGATTTGACCAGTGTTAAAGCATTTTTGCTCACTGCCGTACTTAAGGGGTTTGTAAACTACCCATCGACTGTTGATCTGGTAAATTGAAGTACATTCCTATTACCAAAGTGATCATTAACATTTTCAAAACTCCTTCTTGTGAGTTGAGGACCAAATGTGTTGCCTATTATAATTCGAAGCAAGATATTCACTATAGGAGGTACTGGAACTTCAAAATCAGTTCACAAGAGTTGACCGATGTCTTGTTACCATCTGACGCAGTTTTAGTGGCATAAAACTAGTTTGCAAAGTCCGTTCAATCCCAAGTAGCAATTATTCTGCAAGTTACTCGATGCTTAGGGCCCTCTAAAGACTTCTAACATTTGACACCTTTCTGCGGACTTCAGTAGCATAAAGCGTAGTGACCTGGATGTTTTTAGCCAAGTGCTTTTAAGGACGTAGACGCAAAATCACTCAGTAAAGTAACATAGTTACTAGTTATTGCATGCAACCCCACTAACCTGTCCAACGTCGCTGATTATTCAACTGTATAAGAAAAAGAGAAGCCTCTATGGGACAACCACAAGATGATCTGTTTGACTAACATCGTTTCCCAGATCGTAGGGACTATAGTTACACAACACCTAACTGAAGCTCGAGAACGGCAAAATTAAAGGGTCCAAGCAGGTTTCAGACCGGGACAAAAATGCATTGATCAGTTCTTCACCGTTTGTCAGGTTGTGGGACGAAGACATACCGGTGGTTGACGTGCCATACCTAAAGGTGGCATTTGACTCTATCGACGTAAGTTGTAGTAGTATCTGACTGTAAAGGGAGTACCTAGCATTTCTACAGGACTTACCAAACGTCTCTACTTGAACCCACACAGCTATGTATGTGCTTATGGGGAGATGTTATTTGAAATGACTACAACAAGTAGTGTCTAACGGGGATGCCGGCTGTCACCATTCCTGTTCAACTTCGTTATAAAAGTATTAGTTGACATAACTTCGGGTACCTCTGAATTCGCTGTGACTGACCTTTTCTTTTAAAACCGCCGGGTTAAGACAGAGTAAGCGGAAGTGCTTACAAAACTTAGAGTTTTCTGAATGCCTTGAGCAGAAATCTAAGTATGTTTGGCATGAGTTTGCACATGTTACATGTGAGATGATGCTTCACGACTAGTCTGCAGCTACTCTTACCCTAAGGATGAAAAGTGAAGTGGTAGGATGCGTTGAACAGTTGACTTACTTATGAAGTTTACCAACGAAAGCTCAGCTCGGATACAGAAAATCTAACAGCATCTGCTAGCTTACGTCACCTAACACCGTCAAGATATCCTACCACCTATCAAAAGACAAATATACTGTGCTAAAGTCCGTCTTGTCCTGTTATACGGCTGTAAGATATGACCGTTAAAAGTAAAAGCTATAAAGAGACTAGAGTTTTGTGGCCACATATGTCTTCTTAGCATAGCTCACATAAGGTGGAATCACTTTATGATTAATACTGAAGTTAGATGAAGGTTACTTGGCAAAGCAGCCAAGTAGGTCAATGGGGTTATGAACCTTCAGCCACAGTGGTTGCTTGGAGCTGTATTGCGTGTACTGAGCAACTGTGTGCCTTAACGTGCAATGGTATCAAAAGTTGGATTAATTAGTGAGAGGGCTTGGTGGTCAAATTGAGAAGAGGCACTAGTCGACCAAGTATCTAAGTACACTGGTCTGAGCCGTGTTGGGAGATGTAGATAGCCTGATCGACGGTCCTTGAGATGGCAGAAATAAATCTTTAGAGACACTTGATGACATTGCTGAAAATCCGTCACAATGACGCAGGTGTATGCACTCCTTAACATTTTCTAAAGCTTGAGAATTATCGCTAACCTTCATTTTTCCAAATTGTCTCTCCTATGCATCTTTTTCACTTTGATTTCATTTTTTTCTACTCGCTTTTTTTTGGCATGCTGCTGTAAAGTGTAGCAACTTGAACCGATGCACTTTTATTTTATCTATCTAACTCTCCATCAGGTGCTTAAAAACAGTTAAGGGTATTGCAGGCCAAAGATCGTTGTATTCCTTGATATTGAGGTTAGCTTCGATTCGTTGGACAAGATTGCGCTCTGGAACTATCTGTTAAAGAAACGTGTCCACGAGAAGTGTGTCGACATCTTGAAAGCCCTTTACTTCGACACATCAGATAGAGTGAAGACATACAGTCACTTATCTCTATTGTTCTAAACCAATATTGCAGTTAGACAGGACTACTCATGTTTATTATTCCTCTCTAACTTTGCGATGAGTGATATTCTAAACAAAGCACTGAATGAAGTGTGTGGTGGTGTAGACTTATTACCAGGTGAATTACTTTTCGAGCTGGAGTATGTAAACGACATCGTTTTACTTGCACCACACAAGTGCGAGATGCTTCTACAAGATTGACAGAAGCTTGTACCAGCACTCATATTTATTGGTGAATCACTGAAATTTGTCGACGGATTTGTGTACCCATATGGGTGTATGAGAGCTGGTGTAAGTGTGGCTGATGAGATTTTCAATCGCAGACCGGAAGATAGTGGAATATGCTAATCTGAGTCACCTTCTGCGTTGTCGTGAAGTTAATTTTGCTGCAAAGCGTTGGGTATACAACGCATCAATGCAGACAGTTTCGCCCTACGCCTTTGGAATATGGGTTGTTTGAACTGTGGATGTTTGACTGTTGCATTTTCAATCACCTTTGTCTCCACACCATTACTCTCATCCAGCGGATATGTCATGTAAGTAATTTTGTGGAAAAGCAGCACGTGTTTGGGTGTGATAAAGACTGTCATTAATTGAGGGTGGTCACCTTGAAAAATGGCTATTATGGCTTGGAAGTGTGTCGCGTATGTCGTTCTGGCGGCTCCCACCCCCTTACTGTTCACTTATCCTTCGATTAGTTGGATAAAGTGGAGAGGTGGCCAGTGTATGATGTAGCACCACGGGACGAAGGACAGTTGCGTCGCGTTAGCATCTGTCAGTGCTTCACGACTCTCTGGATGGGGTCCAAGAGATGAAACAACCCAGTGGCTTCGGACGATGGGAAACATGAGTCAAAATCGAAACTAGTGGTTATCACTTTGTAGTTTTTTGTTCCTTCTACTAATGAAAGGTAAGTTGAATGTATTGAGTCGGACAAAAAAAATCGACATAGAACCTCACACACAAGTGCATCGATTCAAGTTGTCACACTTCACAGCAGTATACAAAGAACAGGTGGATAGAAAAAGACTGAATAGACAAAGTTATGTGAGATAACAAGCAATCTGAAGATTAGTGGTTAGTGAAAACATTCAAGCTTTAGAAGATATCAAGCGGTAAATAATTCTGCGCCATTGTGACCGGTTTTCATCTATGTCACCAAGAGTCCTCAAGCATTGATTCCTGTCCTCTCACTGACCCCAGCCAGGTAGTCTACATCTTACACGACTCAGACCGAACGTCAGGGACTTCATCGACTGGTACCACGTCTTCCTCTAACCACCCTGAACCCTCTTCCAATGTAGTCCAGCTTCCCCAAGCAGCATGGCACATTGAAGTAAACGGTGGCTCAGCATGCGCAGTACATGTCCAAGATATCTCAGTCTCTAAAGGTTCACATCCTCAACAATCGACTTGCATCTCTTGCCGAGTACCCTTTGCCTGACCTCAAGATTACTCAGACAGTGATTCCACCAAATACTAGCAATGCTACTAAGACACCTATGATCAAAACCTGTAATCGCTTCATGTCTGCTACTTTCAATGGCCGTCTTACAGCCGTACGATAGGACAGAACGGGCTGCAGCGTAGTACACTCGTCCTTTGATAGATAGTCGGATACCCCATTAGTTGGCGCCACAGATGACCCAAGTTGGTGAGTGCCAAATGGGTCTTCTGTATCCGCGTCGAAATTTCGAGAGTAACCAGTCCCTTTCGAGCCGATGCAACTCGCCAAGTAAGTAAAGTAGTGGACATTCCACCACTTCACTCACTCACTATCATTAAACTAGGAGTGGTTGTAGACCAGTCATATCTGGAGCATCTTCTTACATTTGACAGGTGCAAAACGTGGACTAAACATACGCAAATGTTTGCTCAACGTGTCCAAAAGACCCTGGATTTTGTTGGCGTCTTCACCTAGTAGGATACTCCATATTAGTCAGATGGTCTACATGGTGCAGAGCAGTCCCTATCAAGTCAAGTTTACCTGTTATGTCCGTTAGCACGCCTATGACTGACTTAAGTAGGAATGGTGATAGTGGGCATCCCTGGCAGACACCACTAGTTGTCATCACTTTACATGATAACTATCTATAGGCCCTTGCACAGCTTCGTGAGTTCGAGTAAAGAGGTTTGACGAGCGTCGTTTGACCTTCCTACCTATGGAAGGGTAGTTCTTCTTGAAGTACCTGAAAAAGAAGGGATATTGCGTGACCGCAGAGCCCAAGAGATATCTGCTTGAGGCCGGTCACCCACAGCCTTTTGCGGGTTGTTGTTTTGAGGTTTGGTTGTTCCAACTCCGAGTGGAGAAAACCCATACCTCCGGCACCGGAATACCATGGAGCAAGGAGAAGTGTGCTATTTTTAGGCCGGCCTTTTCTAACCCCTCCTTCCTTCTTGTTATGAAGGTAGCATCAGCGTGGCGTTGCCGGTCATCCGAGGAAATCACCTCACTGCTGTCGCACCCCATCCAGCTAGCAGCAGTCCGGCCTCGCCCTCAGACCCCTATCATAGTGTAGTGATTTACACTGCAACGGTAAATGTTTTTATTCTCAGCACTAACCAGCAGACGTTTTTGGTATGGTAGGACCTCGGGGGAACGAGCGTTCCAACCAGTGTAGCTCTTTGGGTCATTGTAATATATAAACCGGACCAACACGTCAAGGTAACAGCTGTCGGCCAAGAATGTGTTTAGTGCTTCTTTGAGACGGCTTCTTTGTTTGTTTCTTCAATCCTCTCTTTCGTCTTCTTCGTCGCCTTACTGTCGCCTTATTATTTTGTGTGCCACATCTCGTGGCGTCCATATTGTGCCAAGTCTGTGTTCCATAATAATGACAATAATAAAAACCATCTTCGGTTTGGCCAAGCGGCTGGTGTCATAAGCTCTCACTGAACAAGCGTGGCTCGTAGCTTACTTCATAAATGCGCACCGGATTCAGTTACACTAGTTACTATTTGGTTTGAGTGTGTTGTGTTCCATGTGAATACTGATACGTTCACTCATGCTGTGTTGAAAGTATGGGGTATCGCAACATGCACACTGACTACAGGGAGGTGAATAAATGAACTTATCCTTCATTCACATGTTAAGTAAAAGTGTTAATGTTCCGTACCATAACGCTCCAGACCAAAACGCTGGCACCAGTCGATGAAGTCTCGAATTTGGTCTCAGTCGTATAAGGAGTTATAAACTGACTGATCGCAGTCTTGGAGATGATAGGAATCAATGGTGAAATAGGTAAAAACCAGTCACAATAACGCAGATGTATTCATTTTTTGATATCTTCTAAAGTTTGAACATGTTCAATGAACCTCTCTTCTCAAATTCGTTTTGCTTTCATACATTTTTTTTATGTTCTTAATGCTAATCTTTTTGTGTACACTTGTTCTTAGCATGCTTCTATGGAGTATGGCAACCTGAATCGATGCACTTCTGTGCTAGGTTCTACGTTGATTTAGTCTCTATTTATGTTTCAAAGTTGTGTGCCTCATAAATGTCAATTCATACAAAAGTTTCTGTGTTTTATATCGTACAGGTTGTGCTCATTTATTGAGAGATCGCCATCTCCAGTTGTTGACCCAAAACAGTCAAAGGAGTTCTGTTGCATTGTGCATTTGCTTTTCTTACAAGGTGTCGTTTTTTACCAATATTGTGTAATCCTGATCACTGGAAGGTGAAGTACTATGACGATTTTGTGTTCTGAGACCGACGGCGTAGTTGCAGATCTCCGTTTAGCAGAGTCGTTTTATTCAAGATATGAGGTGCGCGATATCTTGGGTTCAGGTGCCAGCAGCACTGTGCGACGATGCATTGAAAAAGATTCAAAGACCGAGTTTGCTGTTAAAATTTTGGATTTAAATAGTGGTGTTGATACTCCAGATGTTATACGTTCAGAATGTATGCGCGAGGTAGCTATTTTACGCAGAGTAGTTGATCACCCTAACATTATAAAAATCCACGACGTTTTTGAGGGTGATGCCTACATATTTTTGGTTTCTGAGATGTAAGTGTTAGTATTCATTTTATTGTTTTCAGATGCCAAGGAGGTGAACTTTTTGACTATCTTACGCACCACGTAATTATTTCTGAAAAACGTACCCGTGCTATTATGCGTCAGCTTTTAGATGCAGTTAGTTTCATTCATGATCGTAATATCGTTCATCGAGACCTTAAACCCGAGAATATTCTTCTTGATGAAAGCCTTAATGTAAAAGTCACAGATTTCGGTTTGGCCGTATTCATTGATGATGAAGAGGAACTTCGAGGTAAAGTTTAGTTTCATATTTAATTAAGATTTCGTTTACAGTGGTTGAATATAAGGCTGAATATTTTTCTCTTTGGATTGAATATTTGTAGGCTCACCATTGTGACACAGTAAACGTAAGCGCTTCGTAAAAGTGCAAGAATTCGAAATGTTTAGGTTGTATTGTGTTCTCTCAGCTGGTTTGTTTAATCGCGGAGCTTTCATCGTCTTTCTAGACGACATCATCAGCACTAACTTCAGTATAAAGTGACCTGTCAATATCTCTTCTTGAAAGTGATTCGTCAGCTTGCCCTGACGAACTGGTTTGTGATTGGTTGTTTCCTTTGATTGTTGTGTCATTGACTGCATAGATTTTTTGTTAGCTGTTCCTCTGTCTGACCTCTGACCTTTCTGTCGTTTATCATTTTCTTATTGGTTAGTAGATTAGGTCTATGTCTATGTATCTATTGATTGCTGACTGACCTGGATGCCAGACTCCTAGGAATTCTCTGATATTCTCTGTGTTTCTTTTTGTCCAAGATTTATACATTATCAAAATTAAATTCATGTCCACAGTTATCCACTTGCATTGAAATGAGTGGTGAAATGTCGTGACGTTTCATAGCCAATTGGTGTTTATGTAGGTGCAGGCGAAGAGTGCGATGACGTTATCCATAATTATTACAGTTGGTTTTGTAAATGATACTTAGTCTGTCTTCTTTGGTTGTTGTGTCCTTTGGTCTGCATAGTAGTGTTTGGAGGGAATTTGCTGGTTTACGAGCAACACCAATTCCATGTGGTCTCAATAATCTTGTGGTTCTGATGTATTCTTTATGTAAGGTAGGATGATGCGTTTATTGATTTCTGTCGATGACTTTGTAGTTGATGATGTACGGGATAGGCATCTTCTGATAAAGTTTCGTGGGTAGCCGTTCTTCTTTAGGATGGACATCAAGTAATTTTCTTCGTTTCTCTGTGAAGTTGTTGTACTGCAGTGTGTTCTCGCTCTTTTGAATAGTGTATGCACTCAATTAATTTTGTGCGTTGTTTGATTGTTACTACTGTAGTTGATAATTTGATCGGTTTGCCTTGGCTTTCTGTACACTTTGGTTTACAGTTTTTCGGCATTTGTCTTACTGACTAAAACATGCAGGAACGGTAGTTGGTTGTTTGACTCTTTCTCCATTGGGAATCTGATGTCATTTAAAATGTTGTTGTTCAAACTGTTAGTGTTTTCTAAATCATCTTTTTTAATGATGGCAAAAGTATCATCTACGAAGCGAATCCAAATTTTTGGTTTAATCGCTGATAAAATGATGACTTCCAGTCTCTGCAACTAGTCTGGATGTCAGTGATCCCATTCGAGTTCCTTTCATCTGTTTGTATATCTTGCCATTAAATCGGAAGTATGTTGTCAGACAAAGATTGATGGGTTCCATCAGACTTGAACACTAGTTTCGTGAGTTCTGAAAGGTATGTGTCTTCGGTGAGCAGGAGGGATGTAGTTTCCTTGGCTATTTGGGGTTCGATTGATGTATGTAGTTCTATGACATCGAAGAATACTATTAATTCGTCGTTTCTTATATTGATACTCTTGATCTTTTCTAAGAATTCTGTTGGTGATTTGATGGAGTGTCCATATGATTGAACAAGATGTTTCAGTTTTCTCGAAAATTCTCTTGATATTTTGTATGGTGGAGTTCCGGAAGTGAGACTACTGGTCGTAGAGTAATGTCTGGTTTGTGTAGAACCGAGGAAGGATAGGTCCATTAGATTTCATTCGCTATTTATCTTGCTTTGTTATTTCTGCTTTGAAGAGTTTGTCCAATGTTTTGTTGATCTGGTTGTCAAACTTTTGGATAGGGTTGGTTTCAAGTGGTTGATACGGATTTTATCTTTGTGTAAATCCTCTGCCTTCTTGTGTAGTCTTCTTTGTCCATGACTACGGTGGTGCGTCCTTTGTCTGCTGGAAGTATAACGGTATCTTTTTTACTTTTCAGTCTTTTTAATATATTTTGTTCTTGGGTGTTCGTTTGAGCGTGATATCTCTTCCGCCTGGTCAGGGGTACGATTGTCTGCCGCTTTTCTTGTTGAGTGGTCTCATTTAATCGTGATGTTTTGAGCGACGATTCTAATGCCGCAAAGAACTGTGATTCGCAGGCATCTCTTCTGTTATAATTCAATCCTTTTTGAATAAGTTCTTCCATTTTTGTTAGTAGTGGTTGTTTTGATAAGTTGGCAACACAGTCATTTGTTTCGTCGGTTGTAGATGCTTCCAAAATTTCGAGTAGCTTTTCCTAGGGAGTTTCGTTGTTTTTTGCATCTCCTGCTTGATTTTTCAATTGCTGTTGTTAACGTTGTCGTGTGTCGTGAGTATACTTTCTAGTTTTCTCTTTTGATTGTGAATCGCGAATCGGTATTTCCGGATTCGATGATGTAAATCTGTAATCATCATCATCTTCTTCCATTTTGTTCATCTATTTTCCATCACATTGGACAGTCAATTGGTAGTCTATATCTGAAACTCTTCGCTAGGACATGCTGACGTAGATAATCATGAAGAGAAGACAGTTGTTCTTTTGTGGAAGTTTGGCTCTTGGAGTTCTCCCATCTTCGAACAACGGGAAGCGTGTTACGCTCGTATGATTGTGAAATGTATTTGTTGACATCATAATTAGCTTGGTGTTCGTCTTTCATCGCTTTACTGTTTCCTTTTCAAGTTACTATTCAAAGGTGTAAAATTGTGTGAAAATGTTAATTTCATGCTATGTAATTTCAGTCTAATGATACGGATCATTTGTTCAACATGGTAAGGAGAATGAACTTTTGCTTCAACCTTAATAGCTTTTCGTCAAAACATCTTATTTCCTATCCATCTCATTTCAATATTTTCCCATCGAATACAGAAGTTCAAAAAATCTTTTCAAAGTGATTTTAAGTATCAATTTTGTATTCCGCTGGAGTACGGTCCAAGAGTATCATACGTTTCTCAGCAATCAGTGCAAATTGTTGCTCCAGGACTAATCTGCGGTGGTTCCTTGTGTAATGACAGAGAGTGAAATGGTGGAGTACGTTGACCACTTCACTTTCTTGAGAAGTCAGATTAACTCTAATGGTTCACTGATCGACGAAGTCTCGACACGGATAAAAAATCTGGGTTAGCTGGCCATATTTTTGGTACTACCATGATATCCGACCGCCTATTGAGGATTGAGTGCACTGCACTGCAGTTTGCCCTCTTCTATTATATGACTTGGAAGCATAGTCCCACTCCTCCTACTTTGGTCTCGGCAAATAAGTAGTATCAAAAGCCTTCACTCAGTAAATGTGGTTCAGTCTACGTAGTACGTAAGCATATCCAGGGTTGACTCACTTCAGTCTTATTTAATGACCGATAAAGTTAGAGGAAACAAGAAGGCCATATCTTTGAAGTAAGGTGTGGAGTTTTAGATTAAAAAGGAAGTCAACTGATTCAGTCGTGAACCTTCATCGATTCATGTAACTGGGACATGTGTTATGCATGTCTAGTCTAATCACCGTCTGTTCGTCGTTTTAAGTGTTAGTCGAAGTAAGTTCAGGCTGGAAAAAGGTTAAAGGCAGCCAGGCTAAAACACGACACCAGTCCATGAAGTCGTTGACTGTTGGTCTGAGGCGAGCAGGGAAATGCAGACTTCCGGATTAGGGTCCCAATGAAAACCCAGATTAGTAGTTGGTAAAAATAGAAAATGTGGCTCAGAATTGATCGTAGCAGTTCAGGTGTATCCACACGTCATTTTCATCGCAATCGTTATACTGAAATTCACCATAATTTGGTTCCTTCTGTTCTTCCCTTAAAACTTCCACTTTTTACTTCTTGCCTACTGATTCCTTTTTTTAATCTGAAACCATCATAGTTTGATGTGGTAATATGGGGTGTGGCAAATTTGACTGCTACACAGGGATGCCTGGTCCTATGTTGATATTGCCTGTCTTTCTGACATCTGTAACCCAAACTGCCAGAATTTTGGCTAATGAAGCTTGCTGTCTTATTTTATAAAAGGTGTAGACATTGAAATCTCTGGTATATAGTTTGAAGCATGGTTTCCGAAGAACAAGAATACTGTTCAGTGAATTCGAATGCCTATCTTTAGTTACAGAGCTGGAAAAAGTTAAAGATGATGCAAATACTTGGTACTGAGATGTAGTGAAAGTTTAGAAAGGAGCGAGTAGGTTAACGGGAATTTGAGAAAACGTGAGTGTTGCTGGAGATGTGTTGTAGTTGACGCTTCTCGTTGGTGTAAATTTTACATGACGGCTTCTATTGACATCCCCAATCAATGCAACGAGATAGCAGCTGTGGTCACGAGAATTAATGTTTACATTAACTATCGTATAGCATAAGATCTAACATGCCCATGTTAAGTGAAGCTTCATTTGGGATAGAGGGAGTTAAGTTACTGCATTTTCAGTATTGTTTATGCTTGATAGTATTCGAGCCACCGTCTAAGCAATAAAGAAAGTAAACAGAGTCTTATGCAAGAAAAGTATCTCAGTTGATGACGTTGTAAACCTTCATCGATCAAGATGATAGTGACCATGTGTTGTTACCCATGTTCAATCGCCGTATGCTGCAATTCACAATGTTGTCCAAAGTAGAATAGGTTTGCAGGAAAGTTATGAAAGGTTACACCGAAGCATAAAACCACTTCTCGAAGCTTTTATCTGTTGGTCTGATCCTTACAGTGAAATATTTACGTCTTTGTAGGGGTCTCTGAGATGACTGAAACCGACGTTTAGAGTTTTTAATTCATATGACTAGGAATAAATAGCAGTGACAAAGATGTGTGTTGGTCTCTTATACATTTCATTCATGGCATATTCCCATTTTCACTTTGCGACTTTCAACTTTTAGGAACATTGAGCTATGAAAAGAGTGAAAGTCGTGGTATATTTATGGACAAGAAATTGTTTGAAGCATTATCTAGTAAATTATGTTATATCACTGGACATTATACCAGATAAACTAATATAATGTGGAATCAATAATAGTGTTTTCTTTCTCTTTGTTATCTTTGCTGTTCGGTTTTTGATACCGTCTCTCTTGTAATAGTCTTATTCCGTTTAATATCACTGTCCACATTTATTGACGTGTTTTGAATGGTTGATCAAAGTTGACTACTTGCTATGCTTTTATCTTCAAACTCTAAGTTCTGTTTTAACTTGCATGTCGCACTGACCTTTCTTGAAAGTTTGTGATTTATGGCTGAAACATACTACAAAGATCAGTCAGACATCCACCAGATCAAAACAAATTAGCGTTTTAATGTGTATCGTCGCACCGTAGTCTCAGAACCAGATATAACTATGGATAATGAATTGTTTTCAAGACGTGATCCAGAAAGTAGTACTGTTTCACTGTGTAGTATATCTAGTAAATCAACTGAAATGGAATTACATCCTACCAAAGTCCCCAAGTTTTAATTTTATATTAAAGCTACAAGATCAACTGTTTTCGTTATATTTGCTATCTTAAACCAGCAACACTGATTTACTTAAGGAAAAAAAATGACATTCACGTTGAAAACAGGCTGAGAGTACCAATTATCCACGAGTCTCCTGGGAATTCGGATAGCCCTAGTAGCTCAGTGGTCGACGAAGCTTCTACAAGTATACAAAGGGCTTGGTTGGCTTTTGCCAACTTACGTCATTTATGGTGCCACCGCAATATCCGATTGTGTATTGGGTGGGGATCGATTGCAATCCGCTCTGTTATACTTTATGACTGTGAAATGTGATCAGTAAAGGTAAAGGATATGAGATGGCTTCAGTTGTTTGACCACCGTTGCCTTCGTAGCATAGGTCGTGTTTTATGGTGTCTCCATGTGAGTAAAACAGAAGTCAGACGTAGAGGTTCAGGAAGGAGAGGTAAGTCAGTTGATGAGGTTGGGAACATTCATCGACTGAGTTGGCTGGAATACGTGTTACGTTTGCCTAACCACCGTCTGCCTCGTCACACAATGTTAGCCCAAGTAGATTCAGGTTAAAGAAAGGTTTGAGGCGACCAATGGATAAAGTCCCTGACTGTTCGTTTGAGCCCTATGGGGCAATGCAGACTAGCTGGTTGGGGTCCGGGGAACAAGAAAAACCAGTGGTTGGAAGCTCTAGGTGATGTGACTCAGAATCGATGTCAGTGACACAGATATATACACGCAATATCCTCACCTTAACTGCTATAATTAATCGCAACATTTTCTCATTTCTCCTTCTTCTCCCTAACTACTTTCTATTTCTACTTCCTTTGACCGATTTTTTCTTTCTTTCTTCATTTTATTTTGTTGCCTTGTTACCTGATGTGTTGATATGAGGTGTGGCAACTTGGACCGCTACTCTGTATTGCCTGGTCCTGTGTCGATTTTGATGATGTGATGATGATGGTAAACGTGGGCTTCTACCCTAATTATCTTAAGTCACCCAATTCTTCATTTTGTGCTAGTCTTCTATAATTGATTGTCTTAAAACTATTTAGCAGTACCAGCGTATTGTTGCTTCCAGGTTTTTTATTTGACTCGCGTATAATTTTACCGCGAATTCAAAAACCCGGAATTTTCATCAAAGCAATTGCTTATCTAAATTTGCACTTGCGAAGCTACACTGCTACAGCTGTTTCACACAATCAGTCAACTTTTCGCTCATTTTGAATTGAATTTCGCTTGTCTTTCAGAAACGCGTGGAACACCAGGTTATCTGGCACCAGAGGTTTTAATGTGTGGTTACTATGAAGATCAGCCTCCGTACAATCAACCTGTAGATATCTGGGCTTGTGGTGTAATTATGTACACTCTTTTGGCAGGTTGTCCTCCTTTTTGGAATCGAAAAGAGCACTTAATGTTGCGTCAGATTATGGAAGGTCGCTTTTCTTTTCCTAGTCCAGAATGGGATGATATCAGTGAGTCTGCAAAGGACCTGGTGAGTCGGTGAAAAAGATTTTGTATACATTGCTTGATATTTCGAAGTATTCGAGGCAATCAGTAAACTTACTGTAGATTTCAATGTATTTAACATAATTTTCGTCAAAGAAGTAAAGATTTTAGGAAGTAGCACCTTTAAAGATTTTGTGTTACCCATGTTTTACATGGTTTGTTTCATGGGAGGTGTTAGCTTGAATAATTGTCATTAACTCACATCTTTATGAAGACACTCATTAACCATAATCCACAATTTTATAAGTAATAGTTAACTTGTTAATCATCACAAAATAAGCTTAATTGCTTTGTTCTTAGAAAGTGACTGGTACTAATTGGAATAGATAATAAAGCAAAACTCAATAGCGCATAGGAGTTCAAAATTTTCCATCTGAGTTTGTTTGTTACATATCATACTGTGAAATAGTACTTATACTGTTTCACTGTGTGACATCTAGTAAATGAACTAAAATGGAATTACAATCTACTACAGTATCCAAGTTGTACTTCTATATTAGTTCAATATTTTAATGACTGAGAAGAGTTGGATATTTCAACTAACTTTTAAACTTCGTGAAGAATGTTTATTAGCCATTTGTGATAACTAATCACAGTGAGAAATAAAATTATCAGTGAGGTTAACTGAATACATCACATGTTTTCCTGGGTAACCATAAAATGGTACAGCAAGGGCACCAAGAAATGTCCCACGAAAAACAATTTAACAACATTATGAAGACTTAAAGCGAAGGGAAATGGGTAAATAAGAAGAAAAATAATAAGAATGTCATGATTAGTAGGGCAATCCAGTAAAATCCATTCTAAGCAAAACAATGATTATCTTTCAGCAACAGGAGACAGAAGGAAGCTACAGTATGACCACCACTGGTTTCAACTCTGAACCATATCTGATAACGTCTTAAGCCAGTGAGTTGCATGATCTCTCGGACCCCACCCTGGTAGTCGTGATGCACCAACAGATGTTAACCCGATACAAACTCCCTTCATCCCACGGTGCCACGTCATACACTGATCACCCCTTCACTCTTCCATCCAGTCCTAGGGCCGGCAAACAATGAAGCGTATGGAAGATGTTGGGATGACATACGTAACACATGCCCAAGCCACTGAAGCCGGTGTTTCCAGACGACCTCACTTATTGAATGACGATCACCATCATGCCCAAACACATACTGTCGTACCTCAGAATTACTTATTTGGTGTTGCTACTGAATGCAAGCAATCCTATGGAGACAACAGTGATCGAATACTCAGAGTCGTAGAGCAGAACTGCTCGCACCGAAGCGTTATAAACGCCACCCTTTACGGTCAGACTACCGTCACGATGGTGCCAAAAGTAGCCCAGATTGGCGTATGCCACTCTGACTTTCTATATGCCGTTGGAGGTTTCATCACACCCCCCACCAGCACTGACACAACTACCCAGCTACACAAACTTTTCGACAACTTCCAACGGCTCATCACCAGGGGTGAGCTCAGGCATAGGCTTCTGTCGATCTTGAAAAAGTACTTTTTTCGTCGATGGTGCAAAGCACCTATAGTACTTACGGACACTAACCCCCAACTGATTAAGCTGGAAAGCGATGGGTTTTTGTCATTCATATTGTTCTCAGTTATTGGTAATCGCTTTACATACGGTTAGAATTACTAAAGTTAGGTAGGGAGAACGGTACGCTTTAAATTACTCGCACACATTATCGACAGGAACGCACAACCACTGTGAACCCTCCACAATAAAACCATGTTATCAACTAGCCTGAATTATCCAAAGCGCTTATTAAACTAACGATGAAAGACAATGCGGCAAGCAACTAGACGTTCCATTACTTTGTAGAAGTGAAGTGATTCTTTTACAATAGACAAGTTCATATGACTATTTTTAAAATTTTGAAGGTTCAGCGATTATCTTCTGTATAAACCAGTTTTGCGATTCACTGACTAAATCAGTTGAATTTCAACCAGTAGGTCCCGGATTCAAATCCCGCCTGTCTCCTTTGATCTGGGCGACCGGCCGGTATCGTAATCTACACAAACTGTTACTCATAACGTAGTACCAGATGTTTGAATTACATTAGTTTTTAATCTGTAAAGTTAGTTTTCTTTGATGTTATAAAACTGACTACACCATGTACTTAAAATTGTTTCATCTTTTTTGTGTTGGTATCTCTTGATTGTAGAGCTGTGACTCATTAGCCTGGGTAGTTGATTTTCAGCTTGAGTCATGGGTTTGAACTGCGTCCCATCTACCGAGGCATTAGCAGTCATATAGTATCATTAATCTTCGCGCATTACCTGTAGCTGATCACCCAGTGTGGGAACATCTATACAGTCTCTGAGATAGTTAAAGTCTGAACTAAGTTGTCTCTTGATTACACTGCATTTTTATGTGACTCATTTCCATTCTTCACTTGACCCCAGGAACAATAGTTAATAGTGTTTCTGTGGTTAAAATGAGTGTAGTGTTTAGTGCTTCTGTTGTGGGCATTGTTGATCAAAATGAATATAAGTAGTATATGTTGAGAGGGCGGCAGAAATCATAGGGAATTACCAGAAATGGGTAAGAATTCTGCCCAAAGAAATGCAAAAACAACGCGGGCGTATGAAAAGCAAATCAAGAGAGAAGCAGAAGAGAAAATGAAGCACATTTCGCAAATGACTGTCTTAGTGCAAGGTGTGCCATATTTAACGACTACTGTACCACATGATAATAATAAGCATCTCTTCCTTCGTCTGTCTTCTTGTTTCCTTCAATTAATGTCGCTGCTTCTGGACGTGATAAAGATCCCGTGGCCTGCAGTGTTCGAGGATGGAGATATCAAGGTCTTTCTCGGGGACTTTGAGTCGATCACGGAGCTGCTGGGTGTCCGGGATTCAGGAGCTAAGGTTGTGGTACTTGGTACATTGCTGCGGGGCAGAGCGAAAACAGCATATGACGGCGTGGAACGTGGGAGTAGGAAGGAGACTTGGCAGAATCCTTACCCATTTCTGATACTTCCCTATGATTTCTGCCGCCCTCTCAACATATACTACTTATATCCATTCTTATCAGCAACGCCCGCTATACTTCCACTTCTTATCAAAAGTATTCCCTAAGCCTTAAGATATAAGAGGGAAAATATTGACATAGTGAAATGTTGGGGATTGTAAAACTTAAGCCAATTGGCTTTTCTCTTCGAAAATGAGGATAGTGAAGATTTGTTGGACTACAAACCCTTTTTTAGGTTAAGTATAAATTTATGCCTGAAAACTTTGGAACATTGAATTAATTGATAAACCTTTTAAAAACAGTCGTTTTAATCCTCTTGTATATATGTTTCTATACACAGATCTGCAAACTCTTGGTTGTCGATGCCAAAAAAAGACTAACGGCTGCGGAATCCTTGAATCACGAGTTTTTCCTACAGCAGGTGCGTGTAATAATTTATTGGATTTTTTGGACTACCACTACATATATATATATATATATATATATATATATATATATATATATATATATATATATATGAACAGATGAGGCATATCGATTAGGCTTGATGGTTTTCACACTCAATGACCGAAAACTCATTTCAAAAAAAATAAATGAACATGTAAGGGTGCGATGCATTTCCATCTATACCATTGATATACTTCTATGTCCTTATGGCTAATTTATTCGGTTAACAGCTTTTGTTGCCTGTATACTGTTTTGAAGTTTATTCATAAAGCTTTTACGCCAAGTCATCAATTTGTAGCATGATTCTACAGTTGGCTATACATATTTCAATATTCATCCACTTTCCTAGTGTCTAATTCTTGGACTGATTTTTTTAATTTTATCATTATTTATCCCTTGGGTTCCTAGTGGAACAAAGGCTTCAGTAGCACGTCTCCATTTCACTCTCTTCTCTGCAGTCTTTTCAACCTGGCTCCACCACTGCTCACAAGGTTTCATTTCTTCCTCACACCATCTCCTCCATTTGGACTCACAAATCGTCGTTTCCCATCCGGGTTCTATTCGAGGGCCCGGCGCGTGATATCCCCAATCGGTTTTCTCAGTTTATCTCCAATCTATCTCCACTTTCTTCTACATATTTTGATTTCAACCATTCAACCGACCCAAACAGTGATTTTAAGGTTGTCTATCAAGTTCACTCAAACATCTCACATTTTCTCCGTCTTCAACTTCTAAAAACACCAGAGGCCCTGACTATCCATGAACTGAAACCTGACGTTTGCGTACAAAAAGTATGTACATTGTAGTCTTTGTCTCTACCTTGATCTTAACTTATTTTAGTCTTGGTGTGTTTCGTTCCTTTTTGTTTTTTCAACTTCCCCTTCAGTTAGATTAATCTTTGTACTATTAGGTTGTCATTATCATTTTTATTTTTACATTGAATAGTTTCCGGTGTTACTTCATTTGATCTTCCTAATAATTACAACTTTTAACAAAACATTTTCAATTTATTTCAATTAATTGTCTCATACATATTACCTAATCGATTTGGTTGTTTATTAACTCTACCACGGTTTTAACTTTTTGTAATCTATTGTTATTATTACTATTATCATTCTTTTTGTTATTTGTCCCTTGGGTTCCTAGTGGAACATAGGGCTTCAGTAGCACGTCTCCATTTCACTGTGTTCTCTGCAGTCTTTTCAACCTGGCTCCACGACAGCCCACAAGCTTTCATTTCTTCCTCACACCATCTCCTCCATGTCACGCTGGGACGCCCAACTATCGTTTCCCATTTGGGTTCCACTCGAGTGCCTGGCGCGTGATATCCCCGAATGGTCTTCTCAGTGTATCTCCAATCCATCTCCACTTTCTTCTACATACTTGTTGGATGATAGGTTCTTAGTTGGTTTGTCGCCAGCCAGAGTTCCTTGTTGCTTATTCTTATTATTCTCACCATCTGATCTTCAGTATCGAGCTAGTGTAGGTAACTGTTGATGAATGTCTGTAGTTTGTTGGAAATGCTTTTCGTAACGTGCCAAGTCTCTCAACCATCACATAGAAGCACTGACTTACCTGACTGGATTGGTGTTTAAAATCCGGATGTTGTTCACGCTTTATGCTGAGTGCAGTGCAGTGGAGTGCCACTGATCTCCACACTGATTTCACGTTGATGAAGACCTTTGTTGCTGTCTTTCCGATCCTGTATGGCTTTGACATCCTCGTCTGTGTTTGTGCCGCCTGTAGTTGAAACGATACTGCCTAGGTTGGTGGGTAGGTGAAAGAGACTACTTCCTTTAGGTGTCTCCTGTTGATGGTGATTGGTGCATGTTGTTGCTGTTGTTGTTGGCTGGGTATCTTCATCACGTGTGTCTTCTCTACGTTCACTTGAAGGTATTGCCGTCTTCGCTGCTCTGCCTCTTCTGTCAACTTGGTGGTTTTTGCCTGTAGATCTTCGAGTTCGTGCGGCGATACATCAGACATAAATCATCATCGGGGAAATCCAAATCTTCTTTTGGGGTCTTTTCATCGTTCCAGCTAGCGTATGCCTATCTTCTCACAAATCCTCACAGTTTGTTGCATGATCCAGTCCACCACAACATAAACAGGAAGGTAATCGGTGATAGTGGGCAACCTTGTCTAAGCACTGTCCTCACTCCATTTCAGAGGCATCACTGAGCTGAGCTTTCCATTGTGAATCACTTGCCATGTAGCACATAGGTGTTGAATGAGGTTGATAAGTGTTTGTGGCAGTAAAACCGTATTGTTGAAGCAGCTGCTGACAAATTACTTCTCGCGATCGAAGGCCTTTTCAAAATGGATGAATTTGAGGTAAAGATCGAGTTGACTGCCATTCTACTCTCTGTTCTATGATGATACGTGGAGTAGCATTGCAATTTGATCTGCACATGATTTGTACTTGCTGAAGCCAGTCAGACAGCCTGCTGTGGTCGTAATTTTGAATCCAGTGCATCATTTAGTCTCTGCAGTATGATGCGGCATAATATTTTGCTTGCTTGTGGTGGACAGGAGTGGAGCATGATTCCGTGCTAGTTCTTGTTCCTGCAAAGACTTAGGTCTCCCTTCTTTGGAAGTTTGACAAGGTAGCCTTTCTTGCAACCAACCGGGAGATACCTTTCCTTCCTTCCTTCCAAACCTTATTCAATAGTCGTGTGATCGTGTTCACTGTTGTCTTTGCGTTTGTTTTCAGTGTTTCTGGTGGAATTCCATCTGGTCCTCCTGCTTTCTTGGATTTCAGCAGCTTTATGGTGTTCAGGAGTTCACTTCTGATTTTGTCGGAGGGCTTGTGTTCACTGATAGTTCTGTGGATGGATGGGCTGTTGGTGGTATTTCTGGACAAGTTGCAGGGTGGTGGTGGTGGTCGATTCAAGAGTTCTTTGAAATGGTTAGCCAATTTTTTCTTTGTTTCTTCTCTTTGGTAACTAAGTTTCCTTCAGTATGATTTATTGGTTTCATCTGTGCTGTGTTGATCTCTTCCCTCCCAGACAGTATCCTGGTTATTTGATGTAGTGTTGTCAGGTCTCTGTCTCGCCTACCTGCAGCCTGTTCTGCTTCAGTAGCAAGTGTAGTGTCGTAGAAGTGTACTTTGTTTTTGCGTGCACTCTTCTTCACTTCTCTGTTTAGTGTAGTGGTTTATAGGTTGTGTTCACTTCCTCTTTTCCTCACTCATCTTTGCGCTGCACTGCACTGGTTTATCTTCTGCTTCACCATCTTCCTCTCCCTGCCCTATCAGCTTCCATGTGTCCGTCGAGATCCATTCCTTGTCTTCTTTCTTCTTCCCTCGTAACACGGTTATGCAGGTTTTTTTCACATTTATTTCAAAGAGTTGCAGTGTTCTTCCATGCTGATTTCTTCGGGGATGTTGCTTGATGTCTCCCATTTTGTCCTGATGACTGACGTGAAGATGTCCATTGTAGTTTTGTTCTTCAGTTTCTGTTTTGGGTGTTGAACCTGAGTTGTGGTTGTGTATCTCCAGCCTCTTTGAAGGCTTTCTACTTGATTTCGAAGGTAGGTTCCTTGGACTTGATAGGGGTGTGGGACTGAAGTTTGAAATAATCCAGTTAAGTCATAGAAGGTCTCTACTTTTGCTGTAGTCTAGTCATCTCTACTAGGTCTGTATTTGTGCCGTATTGTGAATGCACAGTTTAATCATTCCCTGTCTATGCTTGACCCATAATTGATTTGCTTTAAATGAGACCTTCCCTGTGATTTCTTCTGGTATGCATATTTGATGTGTTATTCTCACCACATAGTACATAAACTCAATAATAAAAACAAACTGGAAAGCTTTAATAAGCAAAGGCAGTAGTAAATATTTTCAGAGTAGCCATGTGTTTATTATGTTCAGTGTGAGGAATAGTGAATAAATCTGTACCGTAACCACTGATCAGAAACCAAACCATCAAACACCCCCGGTTTTCAGTCGATATTGATATGGTTAATGAATTTATACACTTCACCAAACGACTTAAACCAGTCGTTCAGAGATTTTTGAACTAATAGTATACTTCTTTGGTCTAACCTTTCTGATGTTGTCAACACAGTTGGAAAAAGGTCGTAGATTACTGATTTTTCCGTCTATTCGCCTGGAACCTGATTTTCACCGAGGTTGGAAAATCCTTAGTATCTGAGTTAACGCAGGATAACAGAAACTTTCTTCTATTTGCCTCTGCCAGCTGAAATGCAAACCTCACTGTAAACACTACTCGTTCTTTAATTATATAGCATAGCATGATATGCTACTGATTTATCGGTAAACTGTTGTCAGACTGTTCTCAAAGTTAGATCCTGTGAATGAATTTGTTAACAAGTGTTGATGTCTACTTAGTGCTTAGCAACGGAATTCAGGACATGTGTTTCGTCCTTTTTGGGACTCGTTAGCTGAGTCTACCTGCATCCTAGTGAATGTTGTTCCCACTAAGACTTGAAGCCAGTACCAAACGCCAAAGCGTTATCCACTAGGCCACCAAGGAATGAGAGCCTTTTCTTGTTGACGAGTGATTTCGTAACCATGGGTATCAAACACGTTTATCAGTTTTTATTTAATCAACCTCATTAGTTCTATATTCAGATATATTCTGCATATTCAATTACTCTTGAAGTAAAATGTTTATTTATTTGTTTCTGCTGTCAATAAACAGAGTACACACGTATATTTAATAAATAGGCAGATGCACAGAAACTTATTTGATGATATGCATAATTGTAGATTCATTATTAGTTGATACCTTAACACAATGTAATATATGACCTTTTTGATTGTCCTGTATGTATAAAGTAAGCATATTAGCATTAATAAAAACTTGGGGACAGTTGATTGCATCACTGTTTGTAGTAGTTACGTTCAATTTTCGACAGTTTTTGATGTTAAAAATATAGTACAAGATCAACTACAACAGCTTATAAGTGGAATTGCGAAGTAATCACATCTTTTTGCTCATCACAGAATCTGCAGTTGTACTACGATACTATTATTTGCTGACGAGAACTATTATCATTTTTCAGATTTTCATAGTACATTCTCTTATATATATGGCAACTAATAGGTTCACCAACAACCAGTTATCGATTGATATCTTATAGTACATTTCATCACTTTATCTGAGAATAAATAAAATAGAAGTTGGCCAGTGATTTCTCTAAACATAAAACCTTTACTGTTGTTGTTTGTACTATCCCGTCGTTGATTCGGCCGAACTGATCTATCTCTATTGACATCTCTATTGACATATAGGCTCCTATGCGGATGCCTCGATGTTGCCTGTGCTTCAATTATATATTAATGACGGATGGTGTCTAGCAACAGAATCCAGCTTGACTCGCATTTTGTCCTATTTGGGACTTGTCAACTGGATGTACCTGCCTCCCAGTGAGTAATGTTGTTCTTATTGATACTCGAATTCTGGACGGACCGCTCCAAACGCTGGAGTGTTATCCACTAGACCACCGAGCCACAATAGCCACTTCTTGTGCTACGGGTATAATTTTAATGTTGTTGCTTGTATTAGGACTAAACGCACCTCTTGGATTCCACTGCTAGTCACTATCTGTTATTAATATATAATTAAAAACACAGGCATTATCGAGGCATTCGCACAGGAGCCCATATCCCAATAGAGACCGATCAATTCGGTCGAATCAACGACGGGATAACACAAGCAAAAACATTTAAACTATACCCGTCGCATAATAAGTGGCTATTCGTGGCTCGCTTGTCTGGTGGATAACGCTCTGGCGTTTGAAGCGATCGGTCCTCAGTTCAAGTCCCAGTGGGAACAACATCACTCACTGGGAGGGAGGTACATCTAGCTGAAATGCACGTCCTGGATTTTATCGCTAGCTACTATCCATCATTAAAAATACTTCTTTCAAGGATCTGAAATGGAATGAATGCAGCTTGCTGTGGTTGACACTGAAGGATTAAAATAGGTTTATGACCATCGTCAATGACCACTTCCTACTGTCTTCTTGCAAGAGGCTGGTCGTATTACACCTGATCAGTCTTACGTAAATTAATGTGTGTCAATACCAAACTAGTGTAAGTATCGGTGATAAAAGACAAATGAGAAAACACGTTAGATAGTAAAACATGCTCAAACTAACAGTCTGTTTATTAGTCTGAAGTAAAAACGTTATTTTAGGGGAAACGTTAAACTCATTCGTCTATGAATGACTGAACTAGAGACGTTGAGTGGATCTTTATTGCTGATCAGTACCAAAAAAGACGCTAAAAATGGCTGATGTCTGCACGTTGAAACAAAACTTACAGAACTGAAGTCATCCACCGACACCGTAGAAGACCATTTAGCCTAGTATTTAAATATTTTAAATGTTTATTTCTTTCTTTAAAACCTGGTAGTTTTTGGTGCCAAGATGGTACAATACATTTTTGTTGCCAAAGTCTTCTATTTAGTATCATTTGTTTACTTTGTAATCCATCATTACAATCTACTTAAAGGTTAACATCATGAAGTATTTTAATGCACTAGTCTTGGAAATAGCAGAACGCTCGTTGACTGTTTGCAGTGTATGATACAGGGTTTTAAGAAACCCTGTACTTGAATAATGTGTACACTTAACAGTGTGTATCGAAAGTAATGTTGTGACTCAAAGTAATTTTAACTTTTTTTCATATCTCCAATCTAATAATTTGATTTGTTTTAACCGTCAAAGTTGACAATATTTTCAATCTTACACTCTGTAATTTTTTCCAAGTCATTTTGGATATTCCATTAAAAAACATGTATACAAAGTTTACGTTGTGAACAGAGTGAAGCACTCGGTTAAGATAGCGTAAAACTGTTAAAATATATTCTTCTGCTTTACATATTCTTGCAGGAAACTATATTACTGATATTTTAAGGATTATGATATTCATCATCACTTCTATGTGTCCAATCAACTAACCAGTTACAACTAAGTGCATTAAACAACTTTTTCAATCTGAATACAATTAAGTAATCTGGTGTAGATCCCCACATTTCACTATGAATCAAAGATATTACTTAAGAGCTAATGATATTCTTCAACTTTCGGAACCTTCATAAATGTAGTTTATTTGACATCTGTAACTCCCACTTTTTGAAAGTTGATTACCTTAAATCAATGAGCTACAGTACGAAAATTAAGATTTCTAAACAGTTTTTATTCGTAAATGTATTTTAAAGAAATACTTTTGAAACATACATCATTAATTTATGTTCTGTTTGAATTTTGTTTTAGCCTTTAGTTGGAGAGATAACATTCAATGCTAAACGTAAATTTAAGGTGAGATTGACATTGTCTTTGATTTTGATTTTCTCAACCTTGTAAGTGCACTAGATCCTTCAGGTATGCTCCTTTTTTTTACGAAGGAATGTAAACACAGGCGTTAAATATCAAGTTGTAAGGGTTGCTTATTAAAAAAATATGCATATCCAATGATCATATTGGGATATATGCTACATTATATAATCGATTATCTGTGTTCACCTATAAATATGAGAAAAGTGAAAAACTTATTAGTTATCGTCATTTTTGTATGCTTATAGTTACTAAAGACAACTAAATAGTACAATGTTGAAGTAACTGACAGGACAGTATGAAATACGAGAAATGCAATGAGACACTTGGACTGGATCCGAATAGTGATTCTTCTCCCTCAGGTCTGATACTTCATTGAGCAGCGGAAATCAGAAGACAAAGACCAGACCAGTCTGTGACTGTGACAACTTTATTTGACAAAAGTTGATCATTTATGTACAGTTTTCCCTGAGAAATAAAGCCAGTAGGTCAGAAGTTGGATACTTGTTTTCATTGGTCAGCTGAAGGATAAATTTGTCCAATAAAGGTTTTCCTGCCCACTCCTCAGTAACTTGAAACCAAGGTTGAAATCCAAAACTTCCACTTTGGAGGCCGATTTCGATCCAGGCCGCTTTCTATCAGACATAAAACTCGTGCAGTTATGAAATGGTTCGATTTACTGAAATTGAATCTAAGCGGAAATGAACACTGAGAAAATAATTGAATGACAAGAATGACTATAGACGGACCTTGTATGGTAATATGTTGCGTATTCTAGCCGATCAATGGTAGCTTTGCTAACTACAACAGTGATTGACGTGGCTTCGAATCCCACAGGGAGTTTCAGTTTTCATGTGGTTCCAGACACACCTTGCTGATGAGCGTCAACAAGCGCGAAGTCTAGATCAAGCAGGACTTCCTCCTGATAACCTGTGACCAACTGACATCCATCAAAGTGCACCGCGATTGTGAGCCTCTTAGTTTCGTTGGCGCATTGCAAAATGATCGATGGAATACAGTCAGCCCTCAAGACTAGACAATCTGAGATCGATTACCCCCTAGAGACTAGTCAATATATGAAAGTATTTAATTCTTTGATAAAAAATCAGTGTTCTTAGTGTTTTGAAAAAACTCAAACTACTGAATTTTTTATTCAGATAATAATCAGCTTGCGTGTACATTCAGTTTAAGTTTCATAATTCTTGTAGTGTGAAGCTATGACTCATTGGTCTAGGCACTTGATTTTCAATTGATGAGTTACGCCTTCAGACCTACCGTGGTCTGGATAGCCAGGTGGTTATTATCAGCCTTCATGCAATTGGTATGGCTCATTGCGGTTGCTACACGAATGTACACAAGGCTGCAGAATAGATTTCGACTTCGACACTAGATTGAACTTTCTTCACTTTTGTATTCTTCAGAGTTTATGAGTATATAGGCTTATTCATCTTAAGATATCAATAAATGTTTAGACAAAATATGATAAATATCAGTATAAAAACTATTTATATTTGAGTCTTTTATCTTTTCTAGGGTTATATAGTCGTCATCATTGAGTTATGGATGTATTTTACTTAGTCATCTTAAATATGAAAACTAAGAATCTTCTGTAGACGAAAGAAAAAGGGGTGGTAAATATTGATCTCTCATCAGTGTTAGACTTATGTGTAAACTGTTTAGAAGCAGAAATCAATCAGGGTTTCATAAGAGGAACTTTAAACCTTTAGAGGAAATTCTGATGAGAAGTACTCACTAACTTTAGACTCAGAGCTTCCCTGATCTTTCTCTGTGTTTGTGTGTGTGTGTTAGTAGCTGAAAGATGTAAATCGATGCGTTAGAGGTTGAGACTTTTAAAATCAAAAGAGATGGGTAGAGTTTATGCGTAAACCATTTATTAATCCCTTGTCAACAGTCTTATGCTTTGGTGATTTTTGAAACATATGTTAAGCGATATAAGTTTAAATTACACTCACCTGAAACTTCAATATGCATAGCTCTTTCTTCATTTTAAAAACTAGACCAATTATGGTGGTCTGTGGGCCAACACTGAATATTTAAAACTATCTAGTAGTTGTTTCAAATAGGTGAAGGGTAAGAAAAGGATAATCAGTTGAAGTGGTAAAGCTTTTTATTAAATCTCAGGGCTTTACAAGGTTTGTCTGAACTCAGTTAAGTCCTCCTAGGTTTTCAATGGTTGTCCAACTGATATCATTCCGTCACAAATACCACCTTGAAACCAAGCAATCCGCACAAACTCCCAAACTGAAATACTGTCTAGTACTCAATATTGACATGCTTCGAGATAAGACTTTCTGAAATTCTAGTGAGAAGTTGTACCTGGTGGGGAAAACCAACTTGGATGTGAAGGTAACTGATGGTTGGGCAATATCGCGGATTATCATCGGCTAGTACCTCTAATTCCAATAGCTTCAGCTGTGTACAGATGAGTTAGAACTGTATTCGAAAGGTTCACTTGTAGGTAGTAAATAACCCTCCATGTATTATTGTTTTAAGTAGGCAACTAATATTAATCGAATTCAACACGTCTGAGGTTACTAATTTTATCTGTCGCCCTCCTAACTACGAAGGTAGGTAGAGGCTTAGCAGCATGTTCTATTTCGCTTCGCTCATAGCAACAGCCAAATTTGCAAATACACAGAGACACATCAAAACTGAGTAACTTTCTGTCTGAGGAGGATGTAGTAGAAGCTGATATTGTTTGCTTATATGTCGTTTTTTTAAATTTTAATAATGTTTATGTTTATCTGTGTTTCTCAATATATAGATTGGTATTATGGCTGTAGGTTTTATCTATTACCTACGTCGTCTTAAAGCTGATGCAGCTTACTTGAATGTCGATCAGCTGTCTACGGATCCATATTCAAACAAAAAGCTACGTAAAATTATTGATACTCTCGCCTATGATATCTATAGTCAATGGGTGAAGAAAGGTGAAGAACAGAATCGTGCAGAATTGTTTGAAAATGCACCACGTCGTGATTTGATTGGTAGATCAGATGAAGTTTTTTACAATAGTCCAAAACGTTCACTTTTCGGTGATGATTCAGTGAATTATACAACCTTCAATTTTGAAGATGATGATGAAGAAGGTCTAAGAGTGCCAATTAGAATTGAATATTGACCAAAATTGATCATTGATCCTTTATAATATTTATTACCCTGTAGTTTAAATTTCATTTCCTTCAGCTTAGATGTGTACTACACTAACTCGGTGCAATAACATATCCCTACATATTTAAATAAAACTGTATGCAAAAATACCTGTTCCAGAATAACTTATAACCACCTGATATTATTTTCCTTACTTTATCATGTACAAAATTTTTTTTCACTTCTCGATCGATTCTAGTCGTCTCTCATTGATCACTTATTATTTCTAGCTAATCCTTATTCATAATACTACTATTTAAAGTTGATATCTGATGAGAATATTTGTCTTTCATATATTTTAATGGATTATATCTGGCTATTGTTTATTTCCAACAAACGAACTGCAAGTAATGTAATCTGCTCAGTAGTATACACGCTACGAAAACTTTTTTGTGAATGCTACCAACTACTTGGCTTCTGATATCCGGTCACCGTTGCCTTCCTAGCATAGGCCGTGTCGTGGTGTCACCATGTCAGTAACTCAGAAGTCAGGTGTAGAGTTTCCAGCTAGGAGTGGAAAGTCAGTTGATAAGATAATGAACCTCCATCGACTGAAATGACTGGGTTATGTTTTACGCATACCCCGTCGCTCAGTGTTAGCTGAAGTAGATTCGGGCTAGAAAAAGGCTCGGGGCGGCTATGGCATCAGTGCATGAAGTCCTTGACTGCTGGTTTGAACCATGTTGGGAGATTCAGAAACTAGCCGGTTGCGGGTCCATGTGACAATATAAGCCAATAGTTGGAGACTGTAGGTGGTATGGCTCAGAATCGATGACAGTGGCGCTGATGTATCCACAAATCACCTCTATTCTGAATTCAGCATTTTTTCTTTTTTATTGCTTTTTACCGAGTTTCTGAGTGAACCTAAATCACCTAGACCTTTCTTAATGAAGGTAAAAAGATCGACTAACGCAAGGATGATTGTCACAAGTCCTACACTTCTAATAAATTCAAACAGAAGAAGTAGTCACTGTTATTTGTGTGATATTCTGGTAAAAATTATTTGTTAAAGAGGTAATAAACCAACTATGCTAGTGAGTATTTTCTAATCCTATTTTGCTTATCAGTTTGCCTATCTGAGATAGCTAACTGTTTTGCTGATCAACATTCTTGCGGTTTGATTATGATTTCATCTGAAAACTAAAATCTCTCATGCATTCAAGTTATACTACTGTGCAGTATTGCAACAGAAACGTGTACATATTACTCATAGCAAACACTGACAGCGTAGCGGTAACTAGTGTCACGGGGAAAATGAAGTTCATTACTTGATCGGAAACACAGTACACCCACACTAAAGATTCTTGGACACCTCACCAATATGGAAGAGATTTTGTGCTTGCTTACTGTAGCATTTATACAACATTCTAAACTTGATAAGTTGACAAATATGGTGACTTCATATGCATGATGAGTGTGTGCAGGTGGTATATAGGCTAATGACTTTGTATTTCTGAAGCAAATAAATATTTTATGTCCACATCATTGATGATATACACACAACGAGCTAGGAAGTCAGACAGTATCTACAGTAAAAATGAAATCATTGTGGATGTTATTGTATTGCTAGGAGTAGAAGATCACCATGACAGTGAAAACCGTTATAATGATAGCCATGGGAAAGACAGATTCGGAAGGTAGATTAGTCTACACACAAGTTCCGAACGCCGTGCAGATTGGATAACAAATGTGCTGATAAACAAAATAAGGTAGAAAAAAAATGCTAGCATAGTCGGTTTATTTCTTCTATGACATTTGGTTTTGGCGAATTCATCTTCAGCTACATAAATATTGCGTACATATGAATGTCAGTATTGGTTAGTCACTAATTGTTAGTTATCTGTGGTCATAAGAATAATATAGGAATATGGAAATTACATAAGAGATATAAACTGGAAAGTTTAAGAATCAAGTAGTGAATAAGGACAAGGTGTCTACAACTCCGGTTTCGATTATTGTATTGCCAAAGCTGCAGTAATGCAAAGTAAACGTTTTTCCATACTCTTCGGAAGATTACATTGCACTTTGTAGACTAGTGCAAATGAATCTTCTGGAACTAATTATCCACTGTCAACCAAATGTCATATGGGGCTTTCAATCGATCTGCGTTGACCCTAACTGAGCCATACTGGAAAGCATTGGCGTCAACGCTAGACAGTCTGCCTCTACGTAAGGCCTATATGCCTATCTTAAACGGAACAGGTGAATTGATATATGCACATTGTAGTGGCTAACAGTGACAGTTTCTTCTTCACACCCGTCTTCTCTATTGGGTAACTAGTCTAAGTGGTTTGCAGGGTAGCTGCATGGAATATTCTTTTGACAGCCTTCATTAATCTGCACTTAAGTACCTCTTGTGTTGCATCTCCACTGAATTCCAAGCCCAAAATTAGCTTTTTCTCAATATTGATAAGAGACTGATGGATAGTATTTCGACATAGATTTTTATCTGTAAATCTCTTTTGGTATCCGCTTACTATGAACATTGATCTTACAAGTTGGATTTCAGCTTCTAAAGTGTCCTTAGTTCAAATCTTCCAGATTCGACAGGAGAGAGAATGGATTAAATTTCTTTTTCGATTGATGGAAACCCAGCTATGAAAATTTGTAATTTACCCATTCCACGTAGATTTTCGATAAATGGATCTTTTAGTCATCACATCTCTTCTGGTTAACAAAACACCAAGGAATGGTATCTTCACTTATGCTCTCATTTCCAATTGTAAAATTGGTGAAGGATTGACATTCATTATGAAAGTGAAGTACTTTCTGCAAGTTACAATTATTGTCACAAACAAAGAATGCGTCATCGGCACATCTGTGGAATTTAAACTGCCTGATAACTGGATTGAATATGATTGTTTTTAGTTTAGGAATAAATATACCTCCTAACAGTGGACTCAAGTGACTCATTGTCGCCTTGTCTCTTTGGTGATAGGTGTTATTAAAGTTGAACTGCACCACAAATGTGTATTTTAGGATTAATTCTTTCAGGTATTTTGTGGGTATATCGATGTTATTTGCGTTTTGTTCAATATCTTCATTTATAAAACAATGTTTCATCAAGTTGGCACTAATCATGGATTGAAATCAGTTGAAAATATGGACCATTGGATTCCGACCTAGTGGTTCAATGATAACGTGCTGGCCATCGAACCTGAAGGTGCTGGGTTCGATCCCCGGCGGGTTGATTGGTGCGCACTGCTGAGGAGTTCCATACTAATACGAAACAGCTGTACAGTGCTCGCAGGTTTCCAGTATTCCTCCAACTGATATCAGTCCATGATGAATACCAACTTAAAAAAACACTAAGTATTCACAAACCCCCAAATTCAAAGTGTTTCAATTAGAGAAACATCTTTGAATAATGAAGTTACGTCAAATGATACTATAACATAAATCCAAAACGTGTACATTAGATATGGAATCGATAAACTTGAATGTATCACGTAGAGAATAATAAGAGACTTGCCTTCTGATAGGTTCTAGAAGTTGTAATAACCATTTAGTAATTGAATGATAAGGTGACCTACACATATCCAGGATTGGACGTAGTGGCTAGTCAGGTTTACGGATTTTGAGTACACTATAGAGACGAGGAACATTTGATCCAGAAGGTCTTAATCTTCCATATAGCTGTAAACTGATGATTGGTTCCTTTTTCATTCTTTTCAGTCAGTTAAACTTCAATTATCTCCGTATATTTCAAGAATTTATTAACAGATATTAGGTAAAAATACTGACATTTCTATATGGATTATGTTTAAACGCGATTATACATCTGCAGAAGATAACAGTAGAAATCAGAATTGTGTATCCAATAAGAACTTTGCCATTCCCTGTCCTTATTCATTGCTTGATTCTTAAACTGTCTAGTTCATATCTCTTACGTAATCTCCATGCCTATATTATTTTTATGTAAACAAATTCATTCTCTGAAGTCATTATTCTCTAATGACTCAACGGAAACTTTTAAAATTTCTCTAACAAATATTAACAAAAGTGTAAAACTTGGCCACTTCGGTAGAATGTAATTTCACATTAGATTTGTTTATTCGATATATAACACACATTGATATGGTATTATCTACTTGATGACGTTTCGAGCATAAATTATTGCTCCTTATCATCTCAGTGTGATCACACTACTTTCAACATCTGATTTTTATAGTCCTATTACCTTATATTATTTATCTTTATTTGGCAACTGTGGTAGAATGTAATATCATATTACAGTGCTTTATTTGATTTATCACAAACACTGTGATACAGTATTATCTACTTGATGACGTTTCGAGCATAAACTGTTCTTCATTATAATATCAATATCATCACATCACATTAGACTTTTATAGTTCTGTCACATCATATTATTTGTTTTAAGTGGCTATAAAATTTTCCATATCTCCAATATACATATTGCGTTATGACTTCACTTCAAGTTGATGACATTATGCTCGAATGACAACAAAATGGTTACTTAAGATTTTTCAGTCGTTTACAAGATGCATACAGATTACAAAATCCTCGCCTAGTTAACTAGTTCACTAGTTACTAAACCGTCCTAAGCCCGGATAAAAAAAAAGAAGCTTGGGCATAGGGCTAGCAACCCCACCCCGTAAAACCAATATAATCGCTTAACAAACTTCAAAGCACAAAGAGTATATAAAACAAAATTAAACTTATTCTGTGTTGGAATCGTAAAGGCTAAATGACGCCAGTTGGTGAAAACCTTCGGGAAGCCAATTGGCCGATGTGTCGCCACTCTCTCGATAAAAGCAAAAGTAAACATGGGGACGTGGAATGTCCGAACAGTGTTTGAACCTGGAAAGGCTGCCCAGATTGGCAAACAGATGAGAAGGTATAGCATTGAAGTGCTCGGAGTCTGCGAAAGCAGGTGGAATGGAAGTGGACCCCCTAAACTGTCAACTGGAGAGGAGTCAATAATCTACTCGAATATTGTCACCCAGACGACAACCACGAGCACACTGAGTTTTGTAGTGGCTATCATGATGCCTCCTTCATGAGCATCGAAGGTTCTCATACAGTGGGAAACAATCTCCTCCAGCATCAGGATCATGACCACAAGGTTCAACTCAAAAGGAAGGAAAGTCACAATCATTCAATGCTAATACTACGCACCTACAAATAATGCGGTTCAAGAGAAGAAGGAGGAATTTTACAGACAGCTGCAATCAGTACTGAACAAGACTTCACCCAGTTGGCGACATCGAAATTCTAATGGGTGACATGAATGCCAAACTGGAAGTGGACAACACAGGAAGAGAACTCTTTATCATGGGTCGAGAAGCACTCGGTGAAATGAACGAGAATGGAGAACTGTTTGCGGACTTCTGCGAACTCAACGATTTAATGATTGGAGGCGGTGTGTACAAGCACAAGGAT